ATCCAAGCTACAACAAGTTAAACATATAAAAATCATTAAACCTTTCAAGTATGAATTTTAAAACACAAAAACACATAATTCATTAAAATATAAACAAATAACCTAAATGCAATCTAATGTCTAGCAAACTAACACATATAATGAAAGAAACACTTGCCAAGTGCTACATACCCCTCAAGAAAACAATGGACTTAGCTTCATTTCTATCTCATACATACAAACCCATATACTGCTAATATCTCTTGACCTAGTTAGCTAAATAGCAGGAAATCTGGTTATAAGCATGCCATTCAACTTCAAACTGTCACATGGCAATACAGCTTTGACTTTGCAAGTGGGTTTTGGCAAGAGGGTTAACAAGGTTTAAAAATGGTATTGTTTCTATAAAGCACAACATACATTTTAAACTCCTTTCTGTGCATGTTACTAAGCTACATTCAAAATTTAATTAACCCTATCACGACAGGTCACGTGTCCAAGGACATATTATTGTGTTTGTTGACTTGCATTCAAAATTTTATCGAACTACTATTTTATGAATTTATATTAATAAGTTTGGTATCAAATTGTAGATTATAATTCAAATATTACTATTATATGTTAGTTAATTTCTTAATTTAAAAGTAATTATTTAAAAAAACCACCAAAACATCTATTTCTGTGTATCAACGTGATTTGTAGAATGCAGCACTGATTCAAATTAGATGTTTGTGATGTCAAAATACTAAGTCTATAGTTTCATATGAATTAGGAACTCAAACTACCGATATTGACAAGCTAGAATATAAAATAAGAACCTCTTATCTTTTCTATTTGCTAAGATATCACTAATGTACTGAATCAAATACAGCGGCCTCCCCACCCACCTCTTTCCATTTTTAGAAATGCTTCCTTATATACACTTACTGCTATGTATGATATGAATAACCAATCGAAAGCTCAGAATGTCCCCTAGTAGTTTTCTCAGCCATTTTGATGTGTTATTGTGTTAATCTCATTCTTTTCACACAAGATTTCAAATGATAAGGTAAGTCTTTAGTGAGATAGAAATTTCATATTTGTTTAGACCTAAATACAGCTTAGTTACTACAGTTGTTAAATTATAGTGGAATTCTATGGTATCGATATAGTAATTTATGATTTTTTTTGGTTATTTAAAATGTATATATAAACCTAAAAAAAAAATTATCTTTTCACATCCTCCACGTGAGAACTTTCATAAGGCTTAGCAACCTATGACAAGCAGCAAATGAGCACAAAGGTCATAACTAGAAGAGATACTTGTTTGCTTACTTCTCTATTTACTGTTCTATGATTTAAGAAATACAAGTTTAAGAACTTATTTGTATATAGTATTAATGTATATACATATATATAATGTATAATAATTGAAATAAGACTGTATTTTACAAAATACTAGTCTACTAAAACACAGCCAAGACAGGTTACTTTGTAAAGACCAAAGGTCAGTTTTATGTTATTGGATACGGTAACATGAGTACACATGTGCTGCATCATTCTAACTTCTGTACTGTTAGCCAAGCACAGCTGAAAGGTCAGTATAATAAATATATATAAATGTATAATGTTATGAGATTTAAGCTATTTAGTCTAAACATTTACAAAATACAAGTCCACTAAAACACAGCCAAGACAGGTCATTTTGGAGTGCACGTGCACCACGTCATTGTAACTTCTGTATTATTAGCCAGGCACGACTGAAGGTCAATATAATAAAAAATAATAAATATATATAAAATTTGTAATGTTATGAGATTTAAGCTATTTTGACTAAACATTTGTATTTTCGTGTTATAATCTGTAGTCATTCTAGAACAACAAAAGCATAATTTAAATTTATTTCCTAATTTTGTATGGTGGTTACAAGGCTGGTCAAATTGATAGACCCCATAGAATTAGGGTAGAGAAAATAACAGAAAAAATATAAAGTTTTATTGAAAACAAATTTTTTGAAATGTACTTAGGAGGTTTTAGAGATTACACAAATAATATTTGAGATTTTTGAGCCGAACAATAGTTTTTTAGTTATAATATGAAAATCTCTTTGCACTTGGATTGGTAATGAAACACACTCAGTATCTTCACAAACAAATCTATAATAAAAATACTTCATTAAAAATCTGATTTCTTATGTACTAAAGACTTGTAATCTTTAATAAAAGTCTACTACATTTTGTGAAGATACACTTACTGCATTAAAAGTTATAGTATAAATACTTAACTTGTGTATATTATACCGAGCCTATCACGAAAGAATTAAACAATTTTACTATCCACATAGGTCAATGAAATTGAAATTATAATGTATGTTATAATTCAAAGTTTTATGGTATCAAAGTTTCAAAACAAACTATAAAAAATACTTAAACTTCAGTTTTCTTGTCATGTGACCTAAAAGCTATGAAAAATCTCAGCATTCACAGTCTCTATCTTGAATCAGATAACTAGTCCTGTAGATGTATGTCTAGACAATAAGTGCATTTGCTTGCCCTATTGACAAGTAAGTTTCAAAGTTCTTTGGGTGAATTCAGTAAAAATAAGTAATAAGGTTTGCCAACCTTTGATGAGTGCCATGCCCATATTCCATAGTTGCCTTGAGATTTACAAGCCAAAAGTACTTACTTGACATATGTGTTTCTCATCATTAGAAAGAGCTCATTTTACACTATAATTTGCCTATAGTTATTTTGAGGTTGGCGAGCAGTTGTCGTCATTGGGCAGACGTAACTATGTATAGTTGGCTGCTTGATCCACGATAGTAATTATGGTTGTTTCTTACCTAAATATGCTATAGTTAGAGATACAGTAAAATTGTAGTTAGGTCTTACTTGTATACTTCAGTTAATTATGTATTATTTGTGTTTTAAATTTCATATTTTAAACGAATAATGACTTTTTAAAATTTATTCTAAGCCTTCCCTCACTCCACCAGCTTTCATAAGTTGCGAGAGCAAACAGTATTTTGACAGAGGCTAAAACCTTCTCTGCCAGTGATAATGTTATATCACCCCGGCATTCGTTGACATGTGTTGACATAAATAATCAAAAATAAAGAAGAGGAAAGGAAAATAAAACTTTATAAATAAACTATAAGTGAAAAGGTAAAGACATGAAATTAAGCATATGACCCAAAGAAGATATTTTAAGACTATTCAGTTAGCAGAAATTAAGACCAGCAACATGAAAAGAGATGGGTACCTACAGGATCGTACGTTGTAATTTTTATTGACAAGAAGAGTGACAAATGAGAGGTCTTGAAGAGGAAAAATAAAAAAATAAAGGAAGGCCTGAAAACCCAGAATGGGAAAGTGAGTAGAGGACTGAACCAGATGAATAATAGGGGTAAAAAGCAAGTCCAAGAAAGAAGAAAAACCTAGAAAGATAATGAGGACAGATGTCACACAACATTATTCCAGATTACCAGGGTGAAAGAAACTCCACTGAAGACAGTTGGGCAAAGAATTGAAGCTAGACACACAATAAATACACAAGAAAAAGGAAGGAGCAAAGTAAAGATCTCAACCCGACCAACTAGTCCCAATAGCAGGGGAGAAAAGAAGTGCAACAGACCAAACAGAGAAAGGAAGGAACATCTACATAGGCCCATCTGAAGCATAAAGAACTGCCTCAGATATAAGGAGAGATAGTAAAGAAAGGCATAGAGAAAAAAATGAAAATGGAAAAATAAGGAACCAGAAAGTGAAATAGAAGGTAAATGGCTTGAGAAATGGAAAGGAAGAAATTTTACTAACAGAACAAATGGAGTCACAAACTTGAGAGAGACCAAGCATTTGGACATGATAAAGTTGTAGTTGTTAAAGAAATGAAACAGTACAAATTCTAATGACAAACAAGGAAAGAAGACAAGCTAAACCCAAGAAACATGGGTCATAGTGTGATAAAAGGAAAATTAATAAAGAACACAGGCAAATTATAAGGAAAAGAACATACCTGAGAATAAAATTCAGAGAGAAGAAAAGTTGTTTCACGATTGGTAAGATACTACCCAAAGAAAACAAGTGAACATTCCAAAATATCATTCCCAACCAAGGAGAAAGAAATTTGGATGATGAAATGGGAGTAGAAGGCCCAGTAAGCATGTGGGAATCCATAACATGTTGAACAATGGCTGCAACAATTCTGATAGCAACGAGCCTCATAGAGCCATCACAGATACAAGGCCTAAGTGTGAACCATGTCACTCACTCAGGACTAAGTATAAATCATAGTCTTTGAGAATGCAAAATAAAAATTAAAACTTTTGAAACAAAAGCCAAAGAAGAATGAAACTCAAGATATCGTTAATGATGCAAGACTTAACAAATTGAACTTAGACAAGAAATTTAAACATGTCTGATCTATACAATGCTGAAGAATAAAGTTGACATGAGTGTAAATGAATAGAGGGAGTAACTGCACATGGAGGAGTGTGTCACCCTCCTATTGATGTAGGAATTTGATTGCATCGTCATACAGTAGTTCAATTCATGTGAAATTAGGTGAGGATTGCCTCAAGGCTAGTGGCACGCAAATCTCTTTGGCAGATTTGCGAGGAAGATAGCTTAATCTGTGTGACGAGGTGTGGTATCATCTCTGAATATAACTTTGCAGAAAATGTTTGTTCATGGAATCTAATCTGGTCAATACACATACAAGATTAAGAATAAATTTTTAACTTACATTAAACAAAATATTATAAGGCTCAAAATTATATAATTTACCTCTCAAAAATATCATTATCAGTAAGTTTTATTTGTTTGCAATTAAGCACAAAGGTACACAATGGGTTACCTGTGCTCTGCCCACTACGGGTATCAAAACTCGGTTTCCAGTGTTGATAAGTCCACAGACATACTGCTGTGCTACTGATGGGCTTATCAATAAGAATAATTATGACTGTTAATCATAAATGCATGTTTCTCAAAGCTTTCAATATAAGGTATACAGAAAAATATTATAAGAATCTTTGCAACACATACCATTAACCTTTCTTTTATTGACTTGTCCATCAGCACGATGTCTTTTCTGAAATAATCCAACAAGTTGTTTATTACACAGTAATACTGAATTTCTCTGAATACCTGAATTCATGAAAATGAAATAGAGAGATAAGACATAATGTAAAATAAAGCACAATTTTCATCATTACAGAAAAAACAAACACAGTGTGTACTAGCTTAGACACTGGACTGCCACTTTTTCTGGATCAGAATGGATATCTGTCCAAACTGCTTATTTCAAGATCAGGTACCAAACTATTTATATCTAATGATCCTTACTTAACAAGTAATGTCAGATTTTTCCACATGATTGGTCATTCTCATTCAAACATAATGGAGACTGTAACCTTAAGAAATCCTGAACAACCAACAGAGAATACTGACGTCTACATTTCTGTACAATGTAGAGCATTACAGCCACATTACCTATAGGCATAAGAGATAATCTCCAGATAATAACAAAGGAACAAAGTCAGCCAGAACAAAACCAACTTAATGACTTTTTAATCAAGCACTATGTGAAAACTGCACATATCAGTATAACTAATTAAAAAAAATACTACATTAAAAGGAGAAGATACAAACTGTATGGTATTTTCTTTATATACACCACAATACAACTAATTGTACACAACAAGTAGTGGTAAACAAACAAACAGAAATAATATTACTTTAACCCTTTAGGTGCACCAGTCTCCATATGACAATCACATAATACAGTTTCAATTTCCTGCTGAAAATGAGAATCAAAGTCATAAAATCAATAAACAAAGCCTAATATGCACAGATGATGATCTTAGCCACCAATTCATATCCAACATAGCATACAAAATCTGAAGGTGGCTTGAAGGGGTGGTAAAGGAAACTTTATATTTTTATACTTTGATCCATTATTTTCTCTACCCTAACTCTAAACAGGTCAATTTGACCAACCTTCTAATCACCTTAAAACTTTAATGGTTGAAAAATACAGAATAAAGTGAGTAGTACTGTTCTATTCTTTTTAGTATTGACCATGAAGTTCCAAATTACTTCTCCTGAGAGTTTCTATTTCTAATCTTTTCACATCTATGTCCTATGTATATTTTACTGTTAACAGCTGAAGTAGAAACTTGCCAAACATAAAGTAATGAACCACTGCTCCTGCCATTAGACTGTTTACGTGCCACCATAATACAATGCCATTAATAGGAAATAAGCTTGTACATCACAATTACCAGAACTTTCCCACAGAGTTTATTGTAATCTTGACTCCAAAAACACAGTGGGAGAGGATTTATTGGTTTGTTTATCGGTACAATGTTTGCAACAAGAATTGTCTAAAGTAATAAAAAGTGCAAGAAAATGTTTGAGATATGGTTCTGTATAAAGTCCAGGCCAATCCAATAAACTTGATAGATATTTGAATGTTCAATTTTCAAAATAACTAAAACCACATAAAATGCTCCCTTTGACCTGTCCATAATGAGAGGGTTAATCATTGGAACACAATGAATAATATGAATATTGGGCAGCACTCTGCCAGAGATGGTTAGAAGGGAGTTCTAAGCTTAATGCCTGAAGAGCACATAAAACTAAGTGAAAAAGATATGCTTGAAAGTTGTTAATTCTCTTGCTACAGGCTCAGGCAAGTTTGTGACCCCAAATTGACCTTTATAGTTTCCATACTATAACTTCTTCTAATATGTTTACAATAATCCTTAAGTCATTTGTAGACAAAAAACAATTTTGATTGAAGTATTTTCACTAAAAATTTCTCCGTGAATATATGGAGTAAAAATGTTGACTTCTCCGAGTGCAAATTGATTTTCCTGTTAAGGATAAAAATACTTTTCTTCAACTGAGAAATCTCAAATTTCACTTGTGTAATCTCTAAAACCTCCTACATAAATTTCAAACATTTTTTCAGTAAAACTTTATATTTTATCTGTTACTTTATTTACCCTAACTCTCTAAGAGGTTGATCAGTTTGACTGATCTCATAACCACCAAAAAAAAATTGAAATAAATCTAAATTACACTTTTTTCTTTCTAGAATGACTTCAAATTATAACATGGAACATTTGTTTATCCTAAATAGCTTTAAACTCCTAACGATATACACCTGTTTATACTTAAATTTTATTGTTTTATTGCCCTTTGAATAGTGTCTAACTCATATTCTAACCATACAAGTTGTAAACTTTACAAACATGTACCTTAGTTACCCTATCGAATTACATAAAAAACAAACTATTTGTGAGTGTACCTCAAAACATTTTTCATTATTTTACCTAGTCTAACCTTATCTAACGTAATAAGTTTCTACCTTTTAAATTTTGGTTACTTTTAGAATAATAAATAGAGAATATGCATGAAAGACAAGAATTAAGTTCTTATCTGGCTCTTTTTTTTTCTTTCTTTTTTTTTTTTTTGCTGTCAACTGTTGATGAAACCTAACCCTTCTTTTTTTAAACTAATGGCGCTATTGCACTAAATAATTTTTATTTAATTAAATAATGCACCAAAGAACACAGAATAATAACATGCAAAAAGCAGACAATATCCCATACCTATCACAGTTTTTCTGGCTTTCTAACCATGCGACAATAGCCATTAAAAATTCAGCAAAGCTTGTCCATGTGTATCAGATTTTCATGTATGGACATATGGACTGGATTCTTTATAGTAGGTGTCTGTGACTTGTTGGTGATAAATTTCAACAATAAACAGACAGCACACAATCAACTTGTTTTAAAATAGTATATTCAAAACAAGTCAATCATATGTACAAAAACCTGTTACACTATTGTTGTATCCAGAGTTTTAAATAACTGTCTCTTTTTCATCAAAGTTCACACAGGTGGGTTCAATTACTTTAGAACACACCTTTGGCAAGACAAATTATCCTCCTCTATCCCTGTTATTACAATACAAGCTGTGATACTTTCACTTTAAAAATTGCCACTATACACTATTTTTGGCTAAACTCACAATCACGCAGCCTAACCACTTTTTCCATTTTAATTTCACTAACTTGCTCAATATATATATTCTTCTCAAGAAGTCGATAAGCCGTCTTAACGTTGTTAGAACAACG